ATGCTCTTCTGATGTCTTAGTCTTTTCAGATATGTTGGAAGGAAATCTACCTGGTTTATTATTTGGGGTTTTCATACTTTTTCCCTCTCATGTATGCAGTTCATCAGATTTCTTCTTACATCTACCTGCATCTGAATATAAGCTTTTCCTTGACATTCTTTCCTGTTTTCCTTTAGTGGGGCTATATTCTGTACCTAAAACCATTCTCTTAATCCACTTGAGTACCAATAGTACTATTTGTTGTATCCCAAATTATGCCATTGTTTCTGATCTACTGCCATATTTCTAATGCTGCTCCATTAGTTCAAACCTTGATTAGCTATATTTTTTTACCCTTTAATCAACTGTTTTTGTTTTCCAGGGGATATCTGATGGTGCTGGAGCTGTTATCATAGCTAGTGAAGATGCTGTTAAAAAACATAACCTCACACCACTGGCAAGAATTGTGGGCTACTGTGTATCTGGATGTGATCCCTCTATCATGGGTATTGGTATGTGTGAAACTAACTGGTTCTATCTTATTTCTGGAGATAGGTCATCTTTGGCATTCAAAGTCCTGAAAAACTAGCCAAATCAAGGTCCCTTGTAGAGAAAAGGACATTGGTAATTAGTCATTTAAATAAATAATCTTTATGAAGAACTGTTCTAGAAACAATAGGAAAACCCAGACCGTGTAAACTACTGGTGGACGGTAATGATATCTTAGTGTCCATTTGAAATATTTAATAAATTAACACAGAAAAAATAACAGAGAAGAATTAGGTGGTCCTGACAGGACAAAAGAAATTATGAAATGGGAGAAATCATGGGATGAAATAGAGGAGGCTATATAGAGAGGACAGACAGCAGCTCTCTGCTGGGTGTTTTACACAGTCACTAATGTATCTCATTCTGTCTTCCTACACTGCAGTAAGTGAGACTTCTTTGTCAATGAGAAAATCGAGACTTACGGAGGTAGTCTTGTACGGTTCCAGACCAATAAGTTACGGAGCCAGGGTGTGATGCAGGTCTCTAGTTCAAGTGCTCTTTTCACTGAGTTAAATACATTGTGTCACAAAGTCAAAGGAATGCTGCCCTGGCTCAGCTTGAGGCTTATTAGCAAAATGAAGAATTATGATAGGTGTGATGCAGGTCTCTAGTTCAAGTGCTCTTTTCACTGAGTTAAATACATTGTGTCACGAAGTCAAAGGAATGCTGCCCTGGCTCAGCTTGAGGCTTATTAGCAAAATGAAGAATTATGATAGTTATCTAGTTTGGCAAAGTACTAGCTGGAGATTTGGAACTCTCTACAAACATGTATAGTCTTGGCTTGAAAAATAGGAATTAGAAGTAGAGCAGAGAACTTTTTACTAGCTGCATTTCTAGGAACTAGAAATGGTAGTTCCAGATGATGCCAAGTTTTAATAATTTCTGTCATAATTCTCTGGGGAAACAGGGAACCAAATAGGTTCCTCTCTTACAAAAATAAAATTGGTGCTCAGATATATTAATTTATCTCATCTCACACCCCAAGGAAAAGCCTGCTATAGGGTATAGATTTTAGATTCTTAATAGGACCAAAGATTTTTCTATGAGCATAGGCCTTTTTTTGACTACCAAAAATTGGTTTTTGAGGAGCATCCCAAGTCAGAAGGGGGATAATATGTTGCTGACCTGCCATCTCAGAGATCCTTCAGTATAAGCTTGCGGGTCCTACTTCAATAATACCACTTACTCTGATTTGGGATCAAGTCAGTACCCAACCACATTTGTTGCCAAGTCCTTCAGAGAAGACATATCCTCTATACAGAATTCCTAAGAAAGCAAGCATGTTCATACCTTGTCATTTTTCACTGTGTGTCCCAAATGTATGCTGGCAAGAACTGCAAGATATTTAGACATCTGTTAAAAGTCAATTTTTTATCTGTAGTCTTAAAAGCTTATTAGCTTTCAGGTACCTGCTATTGATAAAGCATAGCTTAGTCTGAGAAATGGAAGGTAGCTTAAAAAATTAAACATCTAGGGCAATGGTGGCTTTGTGAGGAGAGGAAGAAGCACACTAACGTGCTCTTGCCCTGTACCTATGTGATACCCTGCGCTGCCTCAGGTCTCTGCAGAGGGTCCCCACCAGGAAGAAGGCCCTCACCCATCTTTGGACTTCCCAGGTGCCAAAACTTGGTTTAAACTGAAACATGGAGGGGAGCAGAGGCTCCGCAGAAACCACACACCCTGTGAGGCCACCACCACACGATCCAGCAGGTAGTCTTCACCGCCGCCACCTGACTCCATTCCCAGCCTGACCCAGTGCTCACGGAGCAGGGAGACATCCAGCAGGGGAGGCGGGAGCTCCGCAGAGATGACACCACGGCTGCGCAATCCAGCAGCATGGCCCAGCAGCCCGGCCCAGTGCATGCAGAGCAGGGAGACGTCCAGCGGGGGAGGCGGAAGCTTCGCAGAGACCACACCACCGCCGCGTGATCCAGCAACCCGGCCCAGTGCGTACGGAGCAGAGAGATGTCCAACAGTGGAGGTGGAAGCTCTGTAGAGACCACACATCCTGTGGGGCTGCCACCATGTGATCCAGCATGTAGGCTTCACCGCTGCCACCTGGCTCCATCCCAAGCCTGGCCCAGCACGCACGGAGCAGGGAGACGTCCAGCAGGGGAAGTGGAAGCTCGGCAGAGACCACCACCCTGCAGTACCACCCCGTGACCCTGCAGCCCAGCCAAGTCCATGCTGACTAGAGAGGTGGCTCCCCG